GTTATAAGAATCGAGAAGTGTAATTAAGACTTTTATTGTTTCTGTATACTTCTGTTCTTTTATCTGAAAATATTTATAATTTTGTATTTTTATTTTATAATTAGTTATACCTAGTAACATATCACATTTTTCCTCCTTTAGTTTTGGTAATTAAAAAATATTTACCATGGTATAAATTGTTTTTGTATATTCTCCATCTTTTATCTGCACATTCTCTATGAAAGTACTCATATTTTTTAAACTACCGGTTTATTTAGAATGTGTTACTAACTGCACATTCCTCCACTGAATTACATATATACTATTTATTCGACTATTCTACTATATATTTAGCGCACAATGTTTTGATAAAACCTACATTTCGTAACCATAGAAACAAATAGTATTTCATGGGGAAAAGATAATACATATGTAATGAAATGTACATACACAGCTTTATTCATTTATATAAATTGCTTTATAGTGTATACACGGGATACAAAATACTACATTTGGTTTTCAAAATAAAATTATTAACGCAACCACAATGTAATTTACCACAATTTACCAGAGTCATTGCCATCCATCATACTGCCATACTTACAGAGATAATATTCAAATTAGTATTTTTATTGCGCATGCGTGTATAAACTGTATTCCGTAAATAATAGTAACATGTACCTAAGTTTCTGCAAGACTCTCCCTGCAGCGCGATCTGTTAGCGAGAATAGGAGTAGAAATTGCTTTGCTCTGATTGGCTAATGATTCAATGCTAAGACAAGATTCACTATGGATTAGATGCGCAGTAAAATGGTAAGGATGCTTGCAAAAGCCAAAGAAGATAGAAAAATCGTACAAAACCTGAATCAATCTGAATTATTGTATACCTATACCTATAGATACTGTGACTTCAGATAGTTTGCCTGAAGCAAAGATGGAATCATCTACGTAATGTAATATCTGCAATTTCGAAAGAGTAACACACCGATGTTCCAGGCATGTTGAACAATTTTAATGTTTGACATTAATGAATATATAAAAGTGTTCAATTTTCAGACAACAAATTTAATCAATTAAATATGAAATATGCATGGATATGTTCCCACCACTATTTTGATTCTCTTTGCAACTTTTGAAATAACGCGCAGGTACCATTATTTTCAAAAATGTTCAAAATTACGTTCACCCAACATGTTGATTTATAATAGATATAATCAAGCCTGATTGGTTTGATGTCATGTCAACCATTTTGAATGATCATCTTTTTACTCCGCGTGACGTTACAGTGAACAGGTACCTCTGCTTCACTGAACTCTTGGCTTTTCTACTGCATACACTATACGCATTACATATTTGTATGCCATGTTTAGTAGTTGTATGTACATATATATGGTCTAAGAAATACATACACTACTTTTGCGAGCTTCATTGAACATATAGAGAATGTTGCTGATGCTGCTCTAAATAACAGAATAACAATGTTAAGTTGTAAATGCATAGCTAATTTTCAAATAGGTTTTCAAAAATCTTGACAAAGTACTATTCGAAACTAACCTTTTCAAGGCTGCACTTATGAAAAGCTTCAGAAACCTTTTATATTATTTTATCAAGTAGAAGGAGTTTATGAAAACTTGTTATACCATTTAACGGAGGAATGGGAAGAAGGTAATATGAGTACCAACAGTATTTGGACATGGTTCGAGCGTGTACCAAATTTTAATGATTAGTGTAGAAGAATAGACCTGTATACATTTGTGTACTAGTCGTCTTGGAAGGGTTAACAGATGATGCTAACAGATGATGCTACGTGCAATCGTAGTAGGCAGTAATGGATATTGAAGATCAAAGTTTTGATCATCGCTGCTCCAATAGGTGTTTTGCAGATTCGATAATGTATGTATATATAGTACATATGTAAACCATGGTTCGCACGTATAAGCAAGGCAGTGCGGTTTCTCGATAGCGCGGTACATAGTGTTGTACGCAGATCAAGTGCGTGTGTGACTTGCCTGGTTGGAGAAATGTCGTCGGCATTCGTGGCCGCGAAATAAACGGCGAAACATGTCCGGTCCGACAATCAGTCGTGCGCAGACACTCGGCGGTGATGTTCGAATAGGTGCAACGGTGATCTGCGTAGTTTGTAACAGGACTGACAAGCTATTGAAGTGTTCGCGGTGCAAGGCCGCCTTCTATTGCACTAAGGAACACCAAAGGCGGGACTGGAAACGTCATAAAGAATTTTGTACAACTCATTCCTCGCAATCGATTGTACCCAGTACCGTTTTACCTACGAATCAAAATTCTGTTCTGGAATCCAATAAAAAGGAATCCATTCAGGAGAAAAATCAGAAAGCAAATACACCAGTGGTTTCTAACCTAAGCGAGAAGCCAGTGTCAGACACAACGCAAGAATCGAACGCTGCTCCAGTAGTGCATTACAACGCGAAACATCTTGGAGGTATATACATTAAATTCGGTTCTGTTTTCTACACATTCCATAATAAGCCACTGCGGTATTTGGAAATTTCATTGCTGTCAATCGTTTCATACAAAACAAGTGTCTGCCTTCAAAGAAAGCATTGGAGTCGAAAATATGTCTTCCTAATAATATATTTTTTTGTGTTCGTCAATTTATACCAATGACGGTCTGACAACACATTACATATGTACATATATATATATATAAGTAATTTAGAAAGCCTACAAACAAAATAGATTAACATTATAGATCAGTGACAGGAAAACTGCCTAGGTTTATACTTATATTTACTTAACTCAAAGAATTGTATTCGTTAGTCTAGTACTTAAGAGTAATGGAACCTTTATGATCCTAAGTGTGAAAGATAATTTTTCTGTTTCTGATTATTATAATATATTTTAACAATACATAGGCATTATATTTTCAATAACATTGTTTATAGGATCTACCAAACACACAAAAGAATTGAAAGAATTATCAGATCACAAGGGAGGCCAAAATTCAAAGAGGAAGTCTAAAGGAAAAGGCACTAGTAAAAGCAGAGCAGATGGATGGACTTCTCCTATAACATATGAAGGCAGCTCAGAAGACACAATTCTAGGTGCCAGAGCAGAATTATTAAATCCTGTTCTTGAGAACTCAAGAATTCTCGATAATCTACAGGATAATGAATTAGACATGCCTACGCAACATCATAACGGTATGAAGAACTTCCCAGAGGTTCATTTAGCTCGCGAGGAGGAACTGTTACCACCATTCCTTCATAAAAACAGAAATAACTTGGAAGAATTGCACTTGAATGAGATTTGCAGAAATGTGATCAAGGATATGGATGAATATGGTGTGTGCGTGGTAGATAATTTTTTAGGCATCGAGAAAGGTCGTGCTGTATTAAATGAAGTTTTAAATATGTATAGTGCTGGATTATTTAAGGATGGACAATTGGTTTCTAATAAAGCAGGTGCAAATGATTTAAAAACAATTCGTGGTGATCAGATAACGTGGTTAGATGGAAAAGAAAAACAATGTCAGAACATTGGGCTGCTCATATCCAAAGTTGATGCCATTATTATGAGGGCAAACAAAATGCGGAACAATGGAAAAATGGGAAACTACACAATCAATGGTAGAACAAAGGTAAGAAAAACTAAATTAAAACTTAATTGGGTTTTTACACAGAACTACACTGTTTCAAGGTACATGGGGTAAGAATGTTGTAATACATTTAGGTGTTCATTGCACATTGTAACTATGTATTTCGTTGTAAACAATTTTTAAACTTATTTTCACCGAACATTGGTTATGCGTAAAACATCAACTAATTGGACGCATAAACGAATAAACTGGTTCATTAATTTCTAGAATGTTTTGGCAAGGTAAACTTCTTTCATAAAGGCAGCTCATGATATCAAGTATCGCGTACGAAATTAGACCCCCGATTTCAAATGAGAACAGGAAATCTAGAAGTTGCATTAGTTCAAATGTAGCTGGGTGTACTTCAAAAGCTATCTAGTTAGAAATTTAAACAGTTTCATACGAAACTTACTTCCTTCCACACACATCAGAACAATTAAATTTTGATTTCGAATTTCCGGAAGAGCCGTTGAACGATCACATAACAAGGGAAAAATTAATAATTATATATTAACTTAGCATTTGTTTAAAAAACATTAGGCGGGAGACAAATTATGTAAAATTTAAATGAGTCAGAGTGGTTCACGTTATCTGTACGTTTGACCGTATAAAACGAGACATTGTTTTCCGCAATGTTTGCCGTAATCATATTAGTCATTGTTGAATGCAGCCAGCCTGCCAAGTTTCCCCGTTTCGTCATGAAGTTCCGATAAACGATACTGCGCCGGTATCGGTGAGAAAGAGTACATAGTCGGATTCCCGGTCGAATATCGGCATCCAATCTCCTCGGTTGGTACTAAAACAAGGCGCAAGGTGGGAGGTGACACGGTGGTAGACTGAGAAGGTCAGGATCCCGAAATTGCAACGATCTTTCGGGTAGCTCGGGCGTCGAACGGCGGGAGTGGGCACCACACGTAGTGCAGTCGGTCACGTACGCCGTACTGTTGGCTCGCTCCTCGTTATATATCTTTATCTCTTTCTCTCTATTACTAACTTTCTCTTTCTTCTGTTATCCCAGAAAGTTGTCGGCATCATGAGTGTATGTCTCGATTACACGACTTGTTTTTATAAACACTGCTCTAAGCAGACGGTACAGGTGAAATCGAGGCTGTGTGTGTCACAGATCCAGATAATAGAATGTCATCGATTAAAAGCTACTGGTATCATACGACATGCGTACAGACACGTCGAATTATTTTTGAAGTTATCAAGGCTTTTCGAGCTTGTGCAAAAATTTCGACATTGAAAATTTAGGCTTATCTTTATTTCCTCTTTTTCTAATGGAAATGTCACTTCTGAATCGGACGGCACGTGATAATGACACGAATATTGTCGTTTCCAGGATGTAAACCAACGCTTCTACATGGTTCTGGAAAACGGCTAAGTCGGAAATATAGTTATGATATGGGTCGCTCTAAATATCATTGCTCCGTGAATGTAACGTACGTGAGACGTTATTCAAATATTAGTTTACTGCCATTTGTGTTGAATGCCTTCCTTTAGGATTTTAAACATCGCAGCGCTTTTTTTCCATTAAAATACCACCTTTTTAAACTCGGTGATTATGAGGGTATACATACTTATAAATTTTTCTTTAATTGTATGTTGTATAATCATCATTTATTGTCTTAGGTTCTAGATAAGGCGCGTACCCCATACGCTCATAGAATACACTCAATTCAATGGAGGGTCAATTCATAGAGCATTTTAGACTTATTGTAGTATCTTTTATCGCCGGTGACTCAACCTGTATTTTAAGAATACATACTCTGTAGAGTGCATTCTCTACGCGCTTCTACGGGACGTTGTTACTTCGGACTCATTTCATTCAGCTGACCAAGCGGCAGCTTTAAAAAAGAACGCTAATTCCGTGTCCTGGTCAAACGGAAAATTCTAAGTGACACAGGAAGGAATGCCCAGATCTATATAAAATATACAAGTATAAAGTTGATAAATTAATATGAAATTGGCACCGATAAAAAATTGATTTTATTTTAACCAACTATTTCATTGGTTTCTAATTGATTCATTTAAAAATTATTTGATACTTATTTTTCAAGAGTTTTATAAAAAAAACTAAATAAACAAGTATTATAAGTACTGTTTATGTAGTTGTATTAATCCGGCCGGTGTAACATCATTTCACTAGCATATAATCACGCAATTTTGCGCGACATGCAGCTTTATTGTCGATGATCGAAGAATCAAGATTGGAGAAAATTAATAAGAAAGTTGAAAGTATCATAATCATTTTTTCAAGAGTTATTGAACAGTGTCCAATTCGCTAATTTGTTATCAGATAATTTGACATAAATAATATACGGTTCTTTTTACTAAAGATTTCAATTGCACCTCGCTTATTGTACGGAAACTATGGCGCGACGAATGATTTTATTTAATTTTCATGTTGACAACACACATGGATAATATCACATTTCATTTGAATCTGAGACTTCGAAGAAAATATGTATACTAAATGTAGTACTATAGTATACCATATATGTAGTTTCCTTTAAACGAAAATACGAGAAACTACAATTAATTTGTGTAATATCAGAAAAAATTAAAGCGACTAAGTAACTAATTGACTGATGCTTCGCATGAAAAATTTGTTCCGGTCTTCCGCTTCGGGGCAGCCCATTGCATCTCCCTGTTTAACCTTGCCGGAGGTGAAAGAATCGACGAGGTGCGATCTATATGTACATATGCATCCGTGCATATACTTAAATACGCGATGAGAGCGTGCCAATCGTCTGGGGACGGTCCCGTTCCTGTTCGTCTGTCTCTACGAGGATACTTGTCGTCGCCTGTTTCACTTTCCAACCGTTTCAGAATACTTTTCGTATAATTTGTAATTATAATGGCCCCGTGTCAACGATGTTCGGATTGCAAGGTTGTTCAAACGAATGGAGTCGGAGCGGGATGGAGCAACTCACGAAATTCCAAAAAATTCTTTTGATTATTCACGTGACTAAATCGGGGTTTCTTACATTTCATTTCAAGAATAGAAACATTCTCTTACATTGCTTTTTTCTCGCAACGCTTTATCTACTACACGTCTATTAATAGGATTTTCCATGACTAGGAAAAATCTAAATGTAGTTTGAGAAAATCTTCTTTCAAATACTAATCGCAAGAAAGACTAACAAATTGCACTACTGTGGATAACTTATCAATTTGCAAATAAAATTTCTATTGTCAACGAAAAACTGTTTAAGAAATAACGGAAGATAATTTACTTTTTTTATTATTTTACTACTAATTTTATGTGTAGTAATTTCTCTTTTCCGCAGAATTTTACATTTGCTTTCTTGAAAGCTGTGGGATCCGTGATCCTTAATAATGTAAATATAATTTAAGACGCGCGTTAATTTCGTAAAGCTAAACATGTTTACCTTGAAGTTCTCCTTCCAAATGACCTCTAGAATTAAAGCCACGTACACCACGTTGTTGATCAAGTTTTAATACAGATATTCCGATGAGCCAACGATCACCAATACAACAATGCTCAAATATACCCGACAGGACTTCGATGCGTATATGTTCGCTGGTAATTTTTCGTGGAATAGTGGCAAGTTAAACGAACGTAAAACATCATTTTTCATAGGTTTTGCACGTCGTACTAATCTTCGCGATACATTTAGTGTAAGCAACACCGAAGTTTTCCTCATTTATCCTATAGAACATGTTCACGAAGGAAATTATTTTTGGCTTTTATGCGCAACTTTTGCGAGGGCGCAGTACATATCACGAAAACTAAGCTTATAAACGGTTTCCGCGATAAATGTTTTTATTTAATAGAACGACGAAAAATATCGAGAGCACGATCGACGATCCATGGAACATAAGAAACGTTTTCTGTGTTTGAAATGCAGCGAGCTGCGTTTTCCTTGTCGGTTCTCTGAATCGTCTATTATAGTTTTGACAGATCGTTTTTCCGAGAAAATACCTCGCGTCACGCTTTGTCGTTTTACTTCGCGAAATTCATGCATTGTTTTCACGATGATGCACCGTACGAGAGATGTTTTGTTTACCTCTTTCAACAAGTTAGGAAAGGTAGTGTTTATTATATTAAGCTAAAGTTCTTCGCAATCATTTATGTTTCTCAGCATTGATGATTTTTAATATTCAAACTTTTAAAGAATCTCAATGACTGAGCTCATCTTCCCGCTAAATGCAAAATTCTTGTTATCACCGATCATTCTTCCGATCCATCGTTTCTGACAAAGACTCAAGCCTACCTTTCTTTTGATCGATCAGTAAAGTAACAGTCAACCTGGCAAGACATTCCCGTCTGCGCGTAATTAACGGTTGCGAAATGTGTATCTATCGCATGACTTTATTATACGGTGAAATTAGTCCTGGATTGATGATTCAAATACATCTTGGACGATGTTCAAATATTAAAACAGCTATTCTGACGTAACCGCTGACGTATCGCTAGTACTGCAAGTTTGAAAGAGGAATTTCTACCAAACAAAAAGTTATAGCAATGATGAAATGTGGTCTTTTGTCAGGTTTCGCATCATTCTTTTTTGTAGTTTTAACGTTTCTTAAGGGAGAAACACAATTTCCTTGAAACCTGTCAAATCAGCCTTTGTGGCAGAAAGTCTTACAATCGCAAAGTTAATCTGTTAAGTAAATGAATATTGGTCTGTTTTGCATTCACTGCCATTTTTTTGAAGACGACATGTCGGGGATAACGAATCTCTTCATCGCCAGGAACCGCACATGTTTCACCAACAATTAGGAGCTAAATAGCAAAGTGATCGCTGTTGCTGTGTGCCAGCTGACATTATCATAGATAACATACATAACAAGCATACATTCTGTCTAATAGTTCTGTATTTGATAAGAAAGGACAATATTACAAACAGTGACCGATGGGTCGATGAAATCGATCATTGTTTTCCTACACTCTGGCAAACCGTCTTTATAAAGATTCGTGCTATTTTAACATAATTTATACATCGTGTAAGTCGTTGTCTTAGTCATTTTAACTTTTCAAATCTAATCGATCTAAAAGTTATTGTTCAAATCTGTTTGTCTAAATATTTTATTCAAATAATTTTCGTCGGAAGACACAAATTTTGAAAACATTTCAATTTATGAAAGGAGAGGATTGCACATTTAGGAAATCAACGGACATTTTTTCTGACATCTAATAAAACTTTTAGCTTTTGTTATAATCGTCACATCTAAACGATGCCTTGCAGTATACCTGTGCGTTAATTAGTGATTAGGTTTAAGGACTTTTCATATGTTTCTTTTTTTCTCGTTCATCTGAAGAATAGTTAAAAAACTGTGAATGAAAGCATCATTACATTGTTGACAAAGCTACAGAAGAATCTTCGAAACGAATTACTCGAGTCTCTCGATTTGGCTGGACCTAACTGAGATATAGTAAATTCTCTCTAATTGTCTCTGAGCTTGTAAACGAAAATGGACAACTTGGGAAGAGGAGACATGGTTGCTCGAGCCTCACGGCTCGTTTTTATTGTTGTCAAATGTCAACAATTATAAAAACGAGCCGCAAGGTACTGTGCGTTCAAAAAGCGGATTATGTATCATGAAGAGCTCTATTGTCTTAAACTCGACTCTCAGAAAAACCGCGCACTGCTGGGAGGATGATCTAATAGAATCTTTAACTTAAAGTCATTTCTTCATGTATTTGTAGTTACATAAATCCTGCGTCACAATCTAATTGGAACAAAAGATAGGAACTTTCAGTGACTAATTTGCGAGAAATCTAAGCAGCATCGTCGATACTCCTGTTTCAAATGCATCATCATAAGCGGTCCATTGCTTCAAAATCCACTTCAGATTTCGGTACACATCCTGCGGAGAATAATTTGCTTGACAAAACATCCACTGAATAAGCTCGATGTTCCTCCTATAATTAGATATTATATAGGAATTTGAAAAAATGTGAACTAGGTTAGTTTGTTCAATGATAAACTTGTCTAGAATACTCATCGTGACATTACCGAATATAGAACAAAGTGAAGGAGTAATTCAGCAGCAGCTAATAACAATGAAAATTTCTTATTTACAAGAGACACAGAAAAGACAGTCGAAAAAGAAAAGTAGAAGTTATTTATGTTCATAAATTCTCCAAGTCTAAGTTATAATTTATAATTCACAGATTATACGTTGTCAATAGATCAATAAATGAACACAATTGCATTGTGCGTTTTCCCCGCGATGCTTTTTATCGAACGAAAAACGGAATCGCTTGCGGATTTCAACTTCGCACGACTGTTGGATGTCAGAAATCGACATAACAACATCAGTCACCTAGCCTTTCCGAGAATGACGTTTCAAAAGGTGAGGCATTTTTCAACTGTACCGGTATTACGATTAATCCAGCTCCGACGACTCTTGCGTTATCTCGATAATGTACATACTTTCGGCGAATTGTGTTCCTTATCTGTAAAACGTGACCGGCTACACGTAAAGTGACTCAATATCGACCTTTTGTCTTGATGCTGCACTTTATCTATGCTGTCCCCCGAAAATGCTGGACCACTTGGACAATGAATTCCAATAACAAAAAATTCGCGAACGCTATTTATCTGGAAAAGTTTCAAAATTCGCGATCTGTCGAATTGTCGGAATGATTTTGAAAATTTTGTCGAATAGTGTACGACTGGTGCCTTCCTTCTTCACTATCACTGCTAAAGTACTTCTGACCGATAGCGTAGTCTATCATATCGATCGGCTTCGCTTAATAAATTCAATCATCTGGTAAGATAACACAGTTGCAAATTAAAGAGGACAAATCGAAGGATAGTCGAGACATACCTCAATAGTGTTTAATAAATGCAGATAACAGAAATTCATATATTAAGTTTTACCGATGTTGTTCCTATTTGTCCATGTCTACAATTGTTCTTCATTCCCTAAATTGTTTAAACAATTTGCAAAACTCGCATATTACAGTCGTAAGCATCTTCTTTCCAATACTAAAAGAAAGAAACTTTTTGAATATACGTGTACGGATATTATTAAAAATTATATTGGACTGCCTATTTTTATATGATATAGCTTACTTCGAATGTTTCCAAAGTATTGGTCTAGCAAACAATGTTTTTCTTTATCTTCTGTATGTACGAAGAAGAAAACATTAGTATTTTGCAGAAAATATTCTAAAGCGGAATGACGTGGTTTTATGAGTAATTGTCGTGAATGATTCTCGCGGCAATTGACATTGAAAAAAAATTAAAAGAGATAACGGCAAATTAACCATTTGCCGAGCCATTCTATACTCATAACAATAATTATCTATTGTCCGTAGCGCGGAAATTATGGTCGATGGTTTCCTTACAAGCTACACAATGGCGAACAGTGGTCACTGGAAAAATCTATATATCCCGCTTATTAGAATGATGTTTATAAAAAACAATTTCCAGTCGGTCTGCGTTCTAGAAGTTCTATTAAACGTTGTCCCACCTACATCGTTTACCTTTTTAACAGAGTGAAAGGCATTCTGTAACGCTGCTAAAGAACAGGTAGCGCTAGTATTTCATTCAGAATGTATTTTTTTCTGTAATACGAGATGTGGTTTAAGGAGACAGTTGGCAATTTCACATGCTTGAAAATTGGCCTGAAGTCAAGATTAAAGTCTAGATCAAAGTCACGATTTATTCCGCAAATAGAAATTGTCTATAGTCTATAATAAAAGTGTACACTGACATTCACCAGTCGAATTTAAAAGAGTATCTGATCAATTTTGAAAATTTCTTTTCACAAAAATAGAATTTTGTATGAGAAAGTTTCATTCAACATTTTTAACATATTCAACGCTTGTGTAACCCTATACATATATGTACAACGAGTTCCATAAGACTTGTGCCGAAGATGGATTTAGAGCCCTAGAACAAATAAGTATGTGTGAATGTATGCTTCATTTGACCTCGCTTCCAAAAAGCGATTTCTGTTCTGACAGCTTATATGTATTTGCTTAGCTTCGAGATGGTAGAGATGACCAACTTGCATTTTAGTATCATTTCTCTGTCCGAATATCTATATTTTATCTTATATTTTTATATAACTAGAAATCATTATATTGTTAAGTGGCGGGTACGTTTTACATATTCTTTGTTATAAATATTGTATCATCAACCCGAATAGAGGGGTTTTCTACGATTATAAAATTTTATAATTATTTTCAATTTTTATAATTGAACGATTATAAAAATTAACATTGTACAACGTTTGCTTCGTGGCTTACGTGAGATTCTACGCGTAGACAAATGTCATACCAAGGTTAGCCCGCTATTCGGGTCAATGATACAATGTGATCCCTATTTGTATACCTACTTCGAGAGACCTTACCAGTAACACAACCCTTGTTGCGCACGTGCGGGCATCGCCGTCGCTGCACAGTGTTTTGGAAACCCGCGCTTTCTGGTCAAAATCAATTTTTCAAATTTGATTAAAAGGATTTGTTTTCTTAGAAAGTGACAATCCTTCAAAGTCTCAAATCCAAGATATTATTCATTTTAGATTTTAGATCATGTGATGAGATATAGCGGTCTAAAGACAAAATCATAAAATTCAAAGTAAAATTAAACGTTTTGTATATCAATAATAGGATATCAGAAAATAGGTTTTAATGTTGGTTCTATACATGTTAGCAGGTGTTCTTATTTAATCCAGTTTTAAGCATCATTTAATCCGTATATAAATATTACATCTTTATAACGATTTGAGGTTTGTGGGGACTGTTGGAAAAATGCTTAGAAGTGCTAGATTTCGAACTTATTTTGTATGAAAGTTCTTTTGTTAAAAAAGAATATTTGAAGTTCAGCTGCTACCTCGCGCTACTTTTAATTTTATGTCAAAGGTATTCTGATATTTCGTTTCAGACCTGGACGCGCCTGAAGTGAATTAATTAATTATCTTAAATCGTTAATTTTTAGTGCCGAATTCGTTATCAGCGATCACAAAAAAAACCCGAACTACCAATTTTTAGACAGTTGCGATGCAATTCTGAATTTTGGCTACAAAACACGGGGTTTTCAGACCACTACGTGCTGGAGCGTTTAATTGATATATTCACTCCAGGGCTCAGAATTATTTATTATACTTACTGAATTCATCATTTTCGCTAGAAATTCAGTATTTCGTAGTATCATCTGAATATTTTTTGTCCTCTAATACCGTCCGCTATTTTAATTATGCAACTCGTCAAGAAGCCATTTCAAGTTTAAACTATTTTGCCCCATTATTAAAAAGAATCAATTTATGTAATTTAATTGTTTTCCATATCTACAATATATTTTAGACATACTTTATTTTAGACATCTTGTTCAATGAAACCTGGAGCACGTTGTGCAACCCTTCGTGATCTGCGTCACGTATGGAGAAAACTTCCTATTCCAACTTCATTATTTTCATTAGTTGTTACGTCAAATTCATTCACAGCATCACATTTCCTGTTTCATACTTCTTTCTTGCTTCAACCTTTTAAATTATACTTGACTTCTTATTTTAGAAATCTCAGCACGTCAATCCTTATATCGATAATTAAAATCGTCTGCTGTATTTATTAAGTTTAAAGTATTTCTATCGAAAACTTTCAGGATATATTGTTCTGTCGTGAATATAAATCAAGAAAATAGTATTCTAAAAAACTGTCTAAATTTTCTACTCTTATGTAAGCAAATATTTTATCCCGCACTTAGAACTATTGAACAATGTCTAATTATCACTTGAAATACAATTTTCCATTATTTTTTGATTAATTTTAATTAACTTTAATAAAATCTGTGTAAATTCAAATTTCTTATTTTCTTACAACGTTTATTTATTTTACAGGCAATGGTGGCATGTTATCCTGGTCACGGTTCGCATTACGTGAAACATGTGGACAATCCTAATCGAGATGGACGATGCATCACTGCAATATACTATCTCAATCGAGATTGGGATATCAAGGTACGATTAAGAGTACATTAAAGGTCGTAATCTCTAATTTCCAGGTTTATTCAGATTATCGCGTTGTACATCAAATAATAATTATTCTAAAAAATAAAAAAAGGCTTATTTAAAAAAAACAACAAAAATTGATTAAAATGTTGATCATTCAATATTATAACTTTTTGAAGAAGCAACATTAATATTTATAAAATTATATGAATTGAAAAATCATATTCATACATTTATAACAGTGGTTAAACGTTAATCAGGTTCTCAAACACTTGAATTTCAATGTCCGCAATACGTAAAACGAACGAGGAAACTACCAAGGGCGTTTAGGGCCTACGTGAGTTTCTGCATGTAACACCTCTATCCCGCATATGTACCGGAAGACCGGGTTAAGCAATGTTTACACTGGCCACATGAAAAATATACGCTGCCTTTATAAGCAGAAAGTCTTCACAAAAAAGTCCTATATAATATGCACCTATTAACTTAATTTTAGCTAAGGACGCAAAAAGCCTTTATAATTATAATTCTCTATATAACAGAAACTTTATATAATGACAGTTTGATATCAATAGACTACAGTACTTCGTGCAAAATAAAAATGTTCTGCACCCATTACAACTCATTATATTTTTTAAATGTTCATACTGTTGTTGTTTTAGGAGTATTAAAATTAAATTAATAAAATTTTGTTCCATACTATGTTGCTATTGTAAGGCTTCAAAATATTCATTTGGTCCACTATGTATGCTGTATTTTTTTAATCGCAAAGTTGCGTTTCTAACTAATAATAATTCGACGTTATCTGATTATAGAGAAATGGTGGCCTCCTGAGGATATTTCCAGAAGGCTGGCGCGATCAAGTTGCAGATATCGAGCCCCTTTTCGACAGGATACTGTTCTTCTGGTCTGACAGGAGAAATCCACACGAAGTACAACCGGCATATAAAACCAGATACGCGATCACTCTGTGGTACTTCGACGCCGAAGAGAGGAATCAAGCTTGCCGAAGATATCAGAGAGAAAGTGGGTATATTAATTGTAATCCGTATGCTAGAGACATTCCTTCATTTTAAAGAATGAGATTTTTCATAAACAATTTTCTTTGAATTTTTAAGCACAAGATGCACAGCAACAGACATTACTTTACTTTTTTTTTGTTGATGATTATATTATACTCTAATGAAAAAGCATGGATAAATATTGAAGAATTATAGAAGGTCACTTCTCTGACTCTGATTTACATAAACCATGACTCATATTCCTACTTTATGTTCAAAATGTTTGTTTTTAGATTTACACACAAAAAGTGTGGCTTCGTAATTTATAGATATATCTCCTTGACGACCTCCAGCATGAAGCTGCATTTTTTTATAGCTATACTTTTTAAAGCATTTGATATTATTAGTGGATCTTTCCATTATATAAAATGTACTTTTTGCAAATTTAAAATTATGTTTTGTAATAACTAGTTCTTCTTTAAACTAGGAATATTAAATACCATTGGAGAAATTAAGTTTATACTAAACTTTATATTGAAAAGTTTAAAATTAATGATTCTATTAATGTTGGCTAATAAATTCAAGAGCCTAATGAACTAAATATCTTTTTATTTGACTTTCAGGAGAGCTGCACTCTAAGAAAGAAAATTCGTGAGACATGGAGTGTGAGAGACTGTCACACCATCCGTTGACTGAAATTGTAACTCTATTAGCTGAACTTACACATGTGTATATAGCTACATAAAGAAAGCACTGGTACATAAAATTATTATGTATTACTACGTATTAAGATATAGTCGAATGAAGGAGCTACTGATATTGGAGTTACAAAAAAAAAGATTTTCAAGAATGTGCAATAGTTGTAAGCGCGTTCTTTTTTTTGTTTCTTTTTCTTTTTTCTATGCGGCACTGTAATATATTCAAACGTGGGCTAAGTGCGTAATAGCTCTTACGGTTCTCAATTTATAAATACAATTATTAACTCCGTTTTTTCTAACACTTAATGCTCTCACTCTAACCGAATGTCTTAAGAGTAAAAATTTTAGTATTTGCTTGCCATTCGATTAAAAGTTTGTTCGTCATCGACGTCGATACTTAGCTTCTAACTGTCGGAGTACGATCAATCCTTACGGCGATTTGTGATCCGTACATTTGCTGAAATAATAGTGTACAGAGAAATTAATGCGTGCGTACGTGTATGTGCATGCGTAGAACGAGAGGGAAATAGTCAAACAGTGTGAGTGTAGACAGAAAGAGCGAGTGAATGATCTGAATTATACAAAAATGTTCGTATGTGTAAAATTTTCTAAAATTGCATCTTACTTATTATATTTCAAAAACAATTTCTGTCTTAACACATATATAGTTAGTATCATTAATAACAGTTCAGCTTGTTATTAATATAAAATTGCGAAATTCTTACAATTTTATTATTACTTCTTACACATTAAACATTGTTCTGCAAGTTACAATCCTTCTACTGATGTTTGATTGAATGGCCAGTAATTGACTCATGCTTCCAGTGTCGATAATTGAGATATGTTGGGGCCCAGTCCGTACCTGTAATATTGTTATGTACATTGCGAAAAGGTAGAGACATTGTGTTTACTATTGTATTGTATCTATTTATATAAATTGAATAAGTAAAAATGGAAAAATATAAACACGTACTTCCTGTGTCCCAGATAGAAAGTCTGATATACAAACTTTGTTAGTCAATCTGAATAAGGGAGAAGAGGTGGAAAAGGAAAGAAGAGAGAAAGTGTGCATGTGTGCGAGTGAAAAAATAGAGAGAGAACGAGAAAGATAAGCAAGGAGTGTTGAATTTTTCTAAGGTGTATTATGTTGATAACATTAAACTTACTCAATCGCAAGAATATGTGATTCTCTTCGATTCTCTTTGATTGTATTATTGGACACAGAGGACCAATATCTAGTATCCTCATAAAGAGATTAAGTTATTTCGATGGATGAACTTAATTTAATGTGCTCTTATGTTTAATATCGAAGATTGTTGTGAAATAAGTTATGAACTGATAACGCATTTTTTGAAGTATTGTAAAACTGATGAGAATTGTGATGTGAAAATAAACATTTTACAAAATCGGCATCGAATTGTTTACAGCATAATTATTGGATATTCTTTATGAAACTTTTCATTTCACCGATTTGTATGTCATTTTTATTTGTATACTTATACATTATTTAATTAATATCATCCATGTCTTTGGGAATAGCGCAGTGTTCAATTAAATCCAAGGCAGGGACATATACTTTAAATGAATGACCATTTTTCGGAAAGAGTCCAGGATTAATGATACGACAATCAGAATAAACGGTTTCGTATGCTTCAAATTTGTCCGCAACCACAATCACATCCGGAGTTGGATATATTTGTAGAGCGTGATCGTATTTCCAATATATTGGGATCACAGAAAGACTTAAAGGAGTCAAATGCGACTGGCAAATAATTGATTTGGCATACTAAAAAATGATAACAGAATAATTGAATAGAATAATTTATGAATTATAAAAATAAACAAACATTTTAACTTATGTAAACCTACATGATCGTAAATATTTCCTTCTCGCGGAAATTGTAGTGTATTTCTACACATTTTCGTTAAAATGTCCTCTCTTAACACGACGATTTCTTTTGTACAGTATTGAATCCTGCAAGGATTAGTAGTAAATATTGCACCAGGTACAGTTTTTGTGAACTCTTCTGAAATATTTTTTGGAATTGAAGATCTTGGAAAAATTTTTGGTGATCCTATGTCATCTGGTGCTGGTACAAAAATAAATTTGGAAGACCTTTTTATATCTGGATATTGTATTATTATATCAGCTAAATCTTTAAATCCTTCTTTTAGCTTTTGTGCACTGGTTATATTTGCTGGAAAGCTTAAGAAATGCCCACACAATACAAAAGCAATAGGTGGACATTCAGAATATCCTTCCAACATAGTTCTAAATTTACGTAATACTGTTACATCATCCAGCCACATTTCAGATAAAAAAATAATCATTCCATCTTTGTTACTTTCCTCATAACTTTTTAATTTTTCTGATAGCTTCAAGGAAAGATTATGTGAGCTGCCAAATGTATTGGAGTCACCAAAGTCTGCACGTGCATTACTAGATGACTCAGCTGGTGGAAAAGCTATATCTTTTACATACAACATACCATCTCTATAATCTCCACTAGCTATTACTATTGATGCCTCCATGATTAAACCATCCTGAAAGTTGTATTTATTTGTTAAGGAAAAGAACCTCTAAAAATATTTTCATCAGGTGAATAGTAACATGAATTAAATTATTTTCTACAGCAAAGGATATTGCTTTCTTCAAGTCAACTTTAATTGTTCCTCCTGTGTCTTCTAAATAATATTGGCCTTCTACTAATTGTGTTAAAAGACCCATTACATAAACATTCCCTTTTTTGCTTTCACTTAACAAATATTCAATAGGCACTAATTCAATCCAATTCTCTTTTTTTTCACCAAGTTTAGGGGGAATAAATAATTCATGCCTTAAGGTCCTACGCCAGAGTAACTCAAATCGGTCTTTAAATATTGCTGACTTATGTGGAGCTTCAGCAAACAAATCTGGTGTCACAGGTGATAGAAGAAATTTCTTTTTAGTTGGATCATATTTAATTTTTGGTATTTCAAATGCATTTATGATACTAAAAACTGTTTCTGTATTTTTCAACGTATTAGGCCTTATGCATTCTTCTATTGCTAATTTGAGACTTTCCAGTGTAACTTGAGGATCATTTAAATTTTGTGTCAATATTTGCTCCACAATCTGTGTAAGCCAAGTTTTGCGCTCATTTTCATCTACATTCAACAATTCTTTAGCAAGAGAAACACTGAGTTTTCTAAATGAAATAAAAAAATGTGATCTTACTTAATGTGTACATTGTGATAGTATTCCACAAAATATGCTTTAATGAATAGAAAAAGTATACCTTGAAAGATTGAGACCATACATAGAAAAAGTGCTTTGCACAGATTTCACTAATTTTTCATCAGCCATTTAGAGTAAAGATATTTTGCCACACTATAAGATTAAGACATCATTACACATATACTCGCAATCACTTCTTTGACATGCATGTGCATATACAGTTCGATACAGAATATGTACAACAGAATAGTAGAACTTTCCCGCCTTTTTAACCATTGCATAAATACATACATACATAACCAATTGAATATGTATGTATGTATTGTACATGATACATGTGTATGTATATATTTCCATACGTTGCATATGTACTTGTTATATCACATACTGTCATGGCCGGTAACTACAGGAATTATATGAAATTATTAGAATCTTGGCCTCTGGATAAATCGAAAGCTGGCAGGTAATTTCTCTCGAGCAAATAAATTGAAGGCCTTTAAATGCTTTTCTACAATTATTGTTGGAAAGAATATTGTTGTCAATTTAATGTAGTCTTAATTTTTTTGTGGAAACGTGCGTACGTTAAGGTTAGAATGAAGGCTACAAAACATATAATAGCAGGATACATATATACATTCATGATATTTTTCGTCTTCTAAATGATTAATTATTAATATATAACCGTATATATATATATATAAATGTACGCAAATTTAATGACAATTTATATTTGTTGTAGAGACTTAGGGCAACACATTCGTGATCAATTAAAAGTTGCTTTTGCAAAAGGTGAGGCATCTACCCAGGTTAATCGTGAGGTATGTGATCGTTATTATCTAAGTTTGAAAAGAATTTCTTCCAACCAATATGGGCAAATGTATGTCCGCACACGTAGTGATAATGCTAGTGGCTTAACAAGGGAACAATGTAATATGGCACTATCACCAGAACTAATTGAGTACTTTGAGAACGAAGAAAAAGGATTTCTTAAACGAGTAGCTTCAAGAATTGGAGATGTATTCAATGTTTCCAGAATCAAGTTGTACAATAATACAAAAAGTAATACATAAGATGGTAAAGATAGTAAAATATAACAGCATTAGTCATAGTCATAGAACTATTCACTATTTATTACAAAAACAAAATTGCTTAAAAAGTCTAAAAAATACAAAAAAGCACAGTCAGTCGGCATATGAAAATGTTGACAATGTATTGCATATGCCGGTTATGGCTAAGGAAGTATTACAATATCTAGAGCCTTCACCAAAGAAACTTATAGTGGACATGACATTTGGTGCTGGAGGACATTCACTAAACATTCTAAAAACTTTTCCTGAGGTGAGGATATTTGCTTTGGACAGAGATCCTGTTGCATATGAATTTGCACACAAATTGTCAGAAAAATATCCTGGTCAAATAATACCTTTATTAGGAAAATTTTCTGAATTACCACAGTTGCTTTGTCAGCATAAAGTCAAGAAAAATAGTATAGATGGGTTCCTGTTTGATTTTGGTTGTTCATCAATGCAATTTGATGTTGCACAGAGAGGATTTTCTATATCTAAAAATGGACCTTTAGACATGAGGATGGATGGATTTAGGTATCCTAAAGAACCTACAGCTGCTGATGTTCTAGAGAAAATAACTGAAATAGATTTAACTCAAATCTTGAGGGCTTATGGCCAAGAAAAGAAGGCAAAAAAAATTGCACATGCTATTATTGAAGCTCGATATAGTTTCAGAAGTTTAAAAACTACAGAAGAGTTAGCAAAACTAGTTGAATGTGTTGTAAATGAAAAAAGACTAGACCAGCTTGGTAGACCTGCTCATTGTGCTACAAAAACATTTCAGGCACTGAGAATTTTTGTGAATAATGAATTAAATGAAATCAATTATGGTATTGTCCTGGCTGCAACATATTTAAAAACGAATGGTCGCTTAGTCACAATATCTTTCCATTCTTTAGAAGACACAATAGTTAAAAGGCACATTTCCGGAAATATAATGCATACTGTTGCTAATAAATTACCATTAAAATTTGCAGACCATAGCAAATGTTACGACTCTGACGAATACAAGAACCTTATAAACACACCATGGAAAATGTTACATAAACATGTAATAACACCTTCGCCCGAAGAAATTAAAATAAATCCGAGATCACGTTCTGCGAAGTTACGGGGTGTCAGTAAAGTGTTGTAAACAAGTGTCATGATAAATTTTTAACTTTACTATCGTGTGTAATATAATACAAAATACGTACAAATGTTTCGTAAACTATGTAAAAAAATAAAATATCTCATCCTGTGAAAACCATTTGTAATATACTATAAATGAGAATGGTTTTGCAGTTAAAGAAAAATATTTAAAACAATCCTTCTATTTCGTCATTTTCACTGTTCCAATCCATATCATAAATGCTTGGCCTGGTAGAAAGTCCTGGCATCATCATTATCTAGAAAAATATTTTAGTTTATATTTTATTCATGAAGTTAATAATTTTACACAGAATTCACTTACATCTCCCACCATTGGTACTATAAAGCCAGCACCAACAGACACAAATATATCTGTAATACTCAATGTGAAACCTGTGGGAGCACCTTTAATTGATGCATCACCTGTTAAAGAGTTTGATGTCTTCGCCATGCAAAGGGGCAGTTTGTCGTAGCCTAGTTTGGTATATGTCTTAATCTTCTTTTGCACCTACAATAACAATTATTATATATACATTTATTAATTACTTATTATATCTATATTTATTTATGGCTCATTGTATCTAAATTTATATCTATTTTATTTGCGAAGATCTTTACCTCCTCTGAAAGAACCACTTCTCCTGCACCATACATTTCTTTTCCAATGATATTAATCTTTTGTTCGATACTGATATTCAAGTCATATAATACTTTGAAATTACTGGACTTATTCGTGGCAGCTATAACTGAATCCGCAAGAGCCGTTGCACCAGCACCGCCTTGCGACCAATGTTTGCATATTATTGCATCTGCTGCACCGCTTTCGATAGCAGCTTGCTTTATTAAATCTAATTCCGCTGGTGTGTCAGTGCTGAAACATTAATTTATTGCTCAACACATACTTGAAAGTATAAATTTTAGAGAAACTTACGCATGGACATTAATTGCCACGATAACTGGCACACCAAATTTAATTCCGTTACTGATATGCTTCTGCAGATTCGGAAGACCCTTCCTAACTAATTCAAGATTTTCTTCGCTATACTCCTTCTTCAAGGTAGCACCCGTAGTTACCGGAGGTCCACCACCATGCATTTTCAATGCTCTAACAGTTGCAACAAGTACAACAGCATTTGGTATGTGTCCAGATGTTCGGCACTTGATGTTGAAGAACTTCTCCATACCGATGTCAGAACCAAAACCAGCTTCTGTTACCACGATACCTTCTGGTCCGACTAATTTCAACGCAATTGCATCTGCAATAATCGAAGAACAGCCATGCGCAATGTTCGCAAACGGTCCAGCATGAACCATCACTGGAGTTCCTTCCAAAGATTGCATCAATGTTGGCTCGATGGCATCTTTCAACAAAATTGCCATCGCCCCAGTCATACCCTACAAACACGAACATAATTCTTACAAATAAATGGGATAATAATTTTATGATTAGAATCGTAAATTTACGAACGAAGTCCTCTGCAGTCAAGGGTTCTCCACTTTTGTTGAAGGCTACCACCATGTTACCGAGTCTTTCCTTCATATCATCGACACTGGTGGAGAGTGCGAGTATTGCCATTATCTCAGAACCGACGGAAATTTTGAAAGACGTTTCTCGCGTTTTTCCTTTCTCGGTTGGACTTTGACCGATAGTGATTTTACGCAAGAATCGGTCATTCGTGTCAATTACTAAAATATATAAATGTTAGTTTTACTTCATCTACTTATTTTCATGAATAGATTTCTGGATTATTTTAGCTTCAATACCTCTGGTGAAAGGAATATTCTCTGGATCGATGTCTAATTTCGCGAACTTCTTAATTTCGTCCTCGGTTAAGCTGTTAGGGTCGGTCTTCGTGATACCAAGCTTTTGTAAGCGTCGTAGTTGAATGCTCGAAAACTTTCTTACGCCTTTAATCGTCGGCACGAGTCGGTCGTAAAGAACTTTATCGGATTGAGTGGATTCGTGGAAGTATCGGGCATCGATTTGCGCCGCCATCAGGTTATTAGCTGCAGTCACAGCATGAATATCTCCGGTTAAGTGTAAGTTGAATTCCTCCATAGGAATGACCTAGAAATAATATTAATCGTAATACTTTCGTGTGTGTGTGTGTGAGGGGGGGGGGGGGTGTTTATGTATTATAATATAGATATTGAAAGAATGAACGAACCTGTGAGTATCCTCCACCCGCAGCTCCTCCTTTCACACCAAAAGTGGGACCCTGACTCGGTTGCCTCAAAGTGACAAACGAGTTTTTCCCCTTGTGCACAGTCAAAGCTTGCACCAAACCCAACGACGTGGTGCTCTTACCTTCTCCGAAAGGTGTTGGCGTGATACCAGCAACTACTACGTATTTTCCATTTGGTTGGTCTTTCAGTCTCTTCAACACGTTCAGACTAATCTTCGCCTTCTTACTTCCGTAAGGACTGATTTCGTTCGGCAACAGCTCAATTTCTTCTGCTAAAAGTGTAATCGGCTTCGGCTCTTGACTCCTTGAGATCGTTATATCACTGGGAACCGGCGTTTTTGGACTGATCGCCAAAACATTTAGTTTCCACTTAGTGTTCAAGATTCTGGTTGCAGATCTTTGAGCTGATACCACTGTATTCGTCATCAACATGGCTACGGTCATCGGGCCAACTCCGCCAGGTACCGGTGTAATATATGATGCCACCTTCGCGGCTTCTTCATAATCAACGTCTCCTACCAATCGTTGTCCAGACTTCTTTGTTGGGTCTGCAATATAGTTTCATACGTTTCAATATCTACTCTAAATAAAATATATTTTACTTGAATACTTTACCCGCCAGTGATTATTTAATCCTCCACGATGTATCGTTTAGCAATCAATTGCACGGTAGACTCAGGGTCCAATCGGGCCCATACGGTGAATATACTTTAGGAAGGGGATAATTCGAGACGCCTGGAGACGTTCAATTGTTTATAAATATGGGTTCGAATGGACCTTGAGTTCGTCCGGCGTGGGTTAATATATCTAGTTTTTGAAGTCGTTAACCAGTTTTTCCAGTAGCTACAGTAATTGAAATCTCTTGGCATTTGAAAAAAATGGTCGGAATGTTAATTATAAGTTCTGATATAATAATGTATGTACATACTATACTTTGGATTGCAGCAGTCTACTGAACTCAATACTAATACCATAGGCCTCTTTTTTAATAGCGATAGCAATTTCATTCGTAAATTAATAAATTGTCTCGAGTAACATAGTTTAATTATTTCTTTTCAGATTGTTATTTAAATGAGAATTATTAAGGTTATTTTAGATACGACATAATTATTTAAAAACCTGTTAACAGATCCAGTAAGTGAAATTATATCTACCTGCAATAGAATTTATTCCGCAATCGATTACGATTGCTCCTGGTTTAATCCAGCTTCCCTTGACCATCTCTGGTTGGCCAATAGCAACCACTAAGATATCAGCTTGTGAGACCTATAATCAAATTCGGTGACTAGTATAGACGTATTTGACTAAAAATTGTTTTAAAAAATTATCCAGAAGTTATTGTTCGCTACTTACAACTTCGGGAAGATTCTTCGTTCTGGAGTGACATACTGTTACCGTGGCATTATGCCATTTTAGCAATTCGGCAACCGGAGTACCAACGATCTTGCTTCTGCCTAAAACTACGGCTCTGGCACCAGAAATTGGTACGTTGCTCCTGGAACGTATTATTATACAATTAGCTATGTACATAATAAATAAAATTATATGAACGAATGAAAACACTTTTGATAAACATACTTTTTGATAAGTTCTATGCATCCGTTCGGAGTGCACGGTAGAAATCCTGTCATATCACCAACGGCAACTCTTCCCTCATTAATTGTGTTTAATCTGAAAAAAAATGGAGTTTCAAATATTATTGTTGTTGAACAAAATTAGAGATTTAAATTTTTCATTCTGGATTTATCTACGATATTGCGCTTACGAAAGTATAGTGACGTAATCACGCATAAATAATAAATTATCGCTATTGCATTTATTGAGTCCAGAAACGCGTGACGTGATTATCTGAGCATGTTACGAAACATTGTTTTTTTTATCTGTAATATACAGGAAGATTTACATTATTGCCACATTCGATACATTGTTTAATGAATTTAATTACAGAATTTTTGAAACGTTATACATTTTTGTTGTAAAACATTGCCATATATCCAGAAGAAGTTTTTTGATTGTAATATTTATAGAATGAATTTAATTATTACGAACAATTGTGCAGGCTTACCCATCCACATCTTTTGCAGGCGAGACCAAGTCAGTAATCATATGACTGTCGATTTTGTTCACAGTGTCGAGAGGCATTTGCACAATGATACCGTGAATGTTCGGGTTATTGTTTAATTCGTTCAGTTTGTTCACTAATTCCCTTTCTGTCGTAGTATTTGGAAGTTTCACGTGTTGCGCTGCGATACCGATATCGTTCGCCGCTTTTATTTTCATTCTGATATAAACATTTGAATCTTCCCGACCGCCAACTTGCACGATAGCCAAACCGGGTGCGAAACCTGGCAGTTTCGCTTTCAACAATGTTACATCCTGCGCTAGACTTTGACGGATTTCCCTGTGAATGAAAAAGATCCGTCTTATTGGTAAGAAATGAAATGAACATTTTTATATAATAATTTTTAAATATATATAATATATATATAATAATATATTAAATATATTTTATAATATATTTTATATATATATATTTTTTAAAACATTTTTATAATAAATTTAAATGCAAATTGCACAATAACTGGATCATAAAGAACGATTTTGTTATACGTAACAAAATAACAGTGAGTAAAATAGAAAAATTATCGATGATTCGTTGTAATAATTGTTAGAAACATAAATCATATTTTATAGATAGTAATTATACTGTTATATCTTTGTACATCATACAAATTTTCTGTAAATATTGTACAAAATAAGAGTTAAAATGTATTTCTTCTTTTAACAGTTCTAACAAATTGAAAATGTGATATTAATCTAAGGTTCTTCTAATGCTATCACTGCTCCGTACATAATTTATAAATTTGTGTTATAAATACATAAAATACATAATATAATAATAGTGTCTATTAACCAGTTGCAAAAAATAAAATTTCTATTCGTCTACATTGTCATTTATATAAGATATGTGTTTAAAAGTAGTTAATAACACGAAATGTGTATATTTTTTTCGTTCCTCCATATTATTTCCAAATCATATTCCTA